GTATAGGTAGGTAGGTAGGTATAGGTAGGTAGGTATAGGTAGGCAGGCAGGCAGGCAGGCAGGCAGGAGGTTTATCAACTTACGATAAAATTTGGCCCCGTGGACAGCTTCTGACAAGCCTGCAGCTCTTTCATGCACAGTTCACTCATAGAATGATCATCCATGGATTCTTCTCTGATGCCCCATCGAAGATCAACAACTTGGAAGTCGTAACCTTTCTCTTGGCAAAATGTCTTGATTCTTGGATACACACGTGACATTAGGGTATTTCTTTCCACCGAGGTATCTGAAATGACCAAAAATTTAGGTCACGCGAGGTCAAGCGTTCGATAGCCAATACCTAAGACCCCGTCCTCACGTATACGTTTTCATTTGTAAACGCATACGTTTTGATAAAAATGATGAAAACGCTCGCCAAAATACTTTTGCATGGTCCAATTCATCGATAAAATATACCGTTTTTTCAAGGTTGCGTGCGCATCCAATCTTGACGGGACACGAAACAGAAAAACGCAAATTCAGTAAAATTGAGAAGCCAGTTTTATATTTAAAGAGGACAATAATAAATTTTATGAATTCTTATCGAAAAATCTCATAGATGTGTATGGTAATTCTCATCAGTTATTAAGCTCCTGTTCTGGTATCGTGGCCCGGCCTCAAGTTTTCTCAAATTTGGATGTGCACGCAATCTTGGGAAAAAGTGTCTATTCAAAAAACAAAAAAACAAAAAAACAAAAAAACAAAATCCCTTTGATAAATAATATCATAAAATTCACCTGTAAAAGTAGAACTCGTAAAAATTCTAACGATGTTGATGTCTTCAGAGAATTCCACATTTAAATCTCCAAAAAACACTTTTTCTATACTCGCCATATTTATGTGCTTAATAATTGTATATTCGCTTTCTGTCGTGGAATTGTTGCTATCAATAATGACTTGCTCGGCCTTCACAGGATTTGACTTGTCATCCTTATTACGAGAGTTTTGACTGGCTATAGTTTGTTTTTGGTACGGAGGTTTTGATTGGTCGATTACAATGTTCGTTGAAGCTCCACAGCCCATTAAATGCAGGAGTCACATGACCAATTAACTCAGTTGACTTAGTCTATAACAATTAAAAGAGTAAACATGAATAAAGTGAGACGATGAAATGCATATCAGTTAACAAATCAAGAATTTTAAGAAAGAAAACGAAAAAAAAAAAAAAAAGCAGATTAGTAAACAACTAAAAACAGTTACTGAACAAAGTCATTTCCAACTCGTGGAACAGTCAATTTTACTTTGTCGAAATCGCTAGCTGCGAACATAGACAAAATATTTATAGCGTCGAGCTTTGGAATTTAGACAAATTATTCACAATCTTAGTACAATAAAAAAGATTAACACTTTCATTTAAAAACTGCTATAGAATTCAATAATCTTTTTCTTGACAGAAATTTGTCCACAATAATAGAAATAACATATTCATAGATAAAAGAAATAAAGGACTCTTGAGAACGGCGAAGCATGATTAGGGTCCTTAACTTATTGTTTTGTTTTCACAGACCAATGAATGTATATAGCCCCAGGTGATTTATCTTCCCAAGCTGACGCTTCTATTGATATTCGTCGCATTACAGGATTAAGCTTGCATTTCTTCGGAAATGCGTTGAATAAACTTCAATACCAAAAGCAATATTATAACGGTAGTATAGGATAAATTTGGATGATTTTGAGCTTGAAAATTTTCGATAAAAGAATAGGGAAAACATGGAAAAATCGAAATTATGTTCACTTAAAAAAGTGATTCATCTAGAACAAGAATATATTATTCACTTGGAGACACAACCGCCTTCTTTGCAGTTGAATAAAATAATTTCAAGCTAATGTTCTCAAAGCATTCACTCCAAGAGAAATATATTAACTCTTTCTTTGTTTTAAAATCTTTTTTTTTCCCAATGAAAGCTTAGACAATTTCACTGAACCGATGAAACTATGTTATACTAATATGCATGCTTATATTTGTACATCACCGTCTACAGTAAAATAGATTCCGAAAAGTTTGTCAAACATTTCGATAAATAGAGAATTAGGTACGAAAAGAAAACTAGAAATAGTTAGATGACTATAAGTATTAATCTTATTAGTGGAAATGAAGAAATACAGATGTACAATAATTTCTGTACAACACAAATAATGAGAAAAAATTAAGTGAAATTTCCGTCTTTCCTATTTTACATAGCACGCATCATAAACACAAATTCGCACACTTAATTTCGTATCCAATTCTTTCAAGAATCCAAATCAAGACCACATTTTTCTTACTAGTAGGATTGTATTATTTACAAGACTTACTGAATATCAAGAACAAATCAGACTTACCTTACTTGGACATACGATATTTCGCGGGCTTGGGGTACTAGACGTCACGATATATTGTTATTGTGGCCCAGGTCTCCTGTAAAAGTTGAACCGGTACAGTCGAGAGGATTGGAAATGTATCACGTGACTTTTTGGAGTTGACTGGGGGCAAAAACAAGCGGTTGACTGGGGGGCAACTAGTGGATGCTAAGTCAAAACATATCAAAATAAGTCCTCAAACTATTGTATTTGACTATTTTCACGACATCAAACCGGAAAACAAGAGATCAAAACAACCTCCAGGATTCTACTAGTCTCCCCCACAGCCGCTTTCAGTGTCGTCACGTAACGGGTAGAAAGCGATGCGTGACGACACTGAAAGCGGCTGTGGGGGAGACTAGGATTCTACAAGCCATCAATTGATAGCAACCTATATAGAGCTGTTAAGTTGTGACGTACTTCCGCGTCCAGAATGCTCATTAAAAAAAGAAAAAACCTTAAACAATCAAAACTTTGAACAACAAATCTTGTCATGAAGCCCAAAGTAAGAAAAATGTTGATAGGACTGTTTTTCGCTTTGAATGCCCCGGAAGTAGTTTTTCCACACGATTGACGTCACACTTAGTTAAAAGCTCTATTCTTACCACTCGAACCGTGATGTATTGGAAATGATATTTACTTTGATCACGAAATAAAGGTATATATTGTATTTTTAAGTAAAAATCATCTTCTTCACATAATAAATATATATATAATAAGTCCTTATTCAATAGGAAATCAAATAAATGAAATATCTAGGGATATTAATGACACTTTGTCAGTGAAACAACCAAAGTCAATAGAGACTTCTTTACCTTGGGCGTAATGTTTTTTTAAAATTCCTATGGGAGGCCATTTCAATATTACGACATGTCATACCGTGTGCATGCTGTATGTCAGTGCGCATTGCAAACCATACAAAAATCATTGTACTGTAATGCTTTAAATAATTTTGAAACTTCAAGGTACGTCGTTTTGAAGAGATGGGAATAAAGAGCGATATTCGGAAGAAGAATCGCAATCTTGTTCAGAAGAGTGGATGATGTTAAAAGATCTTCATATCTCTTCATTGGTATTGGTCTTGGAACGATGCTTACTCAAATTGCTGCTGGTAAGATCTGTGAATATGTCCATCAAACACATGTGAACCATCCTAGTCTAGGACTAATCTGTTCACATTAGTATGATCGTAAGATTAGCTAGATACAGTTGTATGAGGTCATTGGGCGATGAAATATGCGGCCCGAACCATCTCAGTCTAGAACTGATATGTTCACAGTAGTATGATCGTAAGATTAGCTAGATATGAGGTCAGTGGGCGATGAAGGGTGGGGCCCAAACCATCTCAGTCTAGAATTGATTTGTGGTCATCCAATAGGTATTTGTGTTTTGTTGCAACAAATGTCTTAGATTTGTAAATAAATGAATAAGAATAATTGCAAAACAATAGAGTGAAAACCATATATCCATGAAATAGTACTAATTAGTACAAAATATCACTAATGAAACAATCGAAAGCGAAAGAAATAGATGTTTTTTAGTGCTATTTAGTTTTGGTGCTATTTCACAGAGTTGAAATTTCCAGTTGTGTAAAAATAAACACTTGAAATAAAAATAGTACCTCGACATTAGCCAGGTCTCAAAGTTTCAGCTCATATCGTTAACTCAATTAAGTCTAGTGCATTTATGAACAGAGAAATAACATAATTTATTTTTTCTATCATTGAAGAGCAAATCCCTTGACACTAGACTAAGCAAATACACAGAAGTTAAAAATATACTACAATACCCTGATCAAATGCCTAGTAAAATATCTTCTGGATTTCAAGGACGAGAATATAATTTTCCCTATCACTTTTTTCAGGGGAGTTCATCATAATTACATGTTAAACCAAATAAAGCTTTCCCATTTCAGCCCATGTTATTCCCTTGAGAATAAGATTCTTTGTTTCAGTTGTGTCCATCTTCGTGTTTTTTCTGATGATCAACTGATAAACAGAAGAATGATACTCTAGAGAATGACTGAGAAAATAGATATCTGAGAAAAAAACTTGGATGTTATCAACAACTGTGGGAATGAGAGATTTTGATTGGCCGAGGTCAATACAATATTAAGTTTGCTCTCTCCTGATTGGCTAAAGTGGTCCCAGTCAGTGTGTTCCAATTGTAATATAAAGCATGTTCTGATGAATTTACAAGTTTTTATRTACTTTATTTTACATGGACATTTGGAAAAACTTTTTAAAATGTTGCTCTAGAAACAAGTTAAAAGTTATATTTTGACATGAATTTCTGTCCAGCGACAAATATTTCTCATGCTGAAGTATTTCATGAAGGAAATTAATTTTATGTCAAGTGACCATAAATTTATGTCAAGCGACAAATATTTCTCATGGTGTAGCGCATAATTTGTGAATGGCATAAATTTATGTCAATCAATAGGAATTCAAAAGCATATCAAACATATAATTGAAACAGCCATGATGTCATTGAACTCCTGAAACTGTACTTTCCTAGTCACTTTTACTTTGAAATCCAACAAAATTGTCCAAAAATGAACATCTATCATAAATAAGAGGTAAATACAAATGTGTAGTTCCAAAAATTATCCATACCCCCATCACGGAGAAATTTTTTTAAGACATCCCCTACCCCCAGGAATTCCAATTTTCTTCCATACAAACTCAGCTGCAACTTTTGTTCTTTCTCTGACCCCCCCTACTCTTCGGAAATTCCAAATTCCTCTGTGGGGTGGGTATGGATGATTTCTGGAACTACACAATATAACTTTTAACTTGTTTCGAACAACAAGGTTAGAATAAGCAATATTCTTATGTTTGACAGAGCAAAAAATAACGACAGGTCAGTCCCTGGTCATGATGACCAACCAAATTAGTTTTAGCTTGGTCATACCTTGTTTATATCTCAATGTTACTTTATGTTATTGTTGCAGTAAAGAAATAAGCACATGATTTAGTTGTCTACAAAAATAACGGTATTACAGCAAAAATCATTGCATCACAACCTACCATTTCAAAACTCCGATTGGATTTTGGTCTTTTCCAAGCCGTCAATCATTTCAGGTTTATGCAAATGAGTTAATGTCCAGTGTTGACCATTAACTCATGTTTTGTCCAAAATCTAAAATGACTTGATGATATTCCAAGGAATAATGATAATAATAATAATAATAATAATTACAATTTGTAAAGCGCTTATCCAGGGCTGCTCTAGGCGCTGCGAAAGATGGAATACAAAATAATACAAAAATGATGATTACAATAATCAGAAAAGTAATAAAGGTCACACATTTAAAGCTAATTAAACAAATGAGTTTTCAAAGAAGTCTTGAATGATGACAAGCTCTCAGAGTTCCTAATTGAAGATGGAAGGACATTCCAATATCATTTCAATGCAACAATTTTTGCTGTAATTTTGGTGGTTATTATTGCTTTTCTAAGTTCTAAAAATCAAATTGTTCTCAAGTTTCTTCGTGTTGTTTTGCCCCCAATAACCAATTATTATTCTTAGCATTAAAACAAATGATTGCTTTCATGTGACATGTTGAAGAAATACTGCAAATGGTTTGGACAAAGTGTACATTTGTAATGTAATGGATTGTTATGACAAGTTGAACATGATACAATAAACAGGTGTACTTAACTGACATTTCATTTTTTCTTTGTTGAATTAAAAAAAGAGAGGTTCTCCCCTTTGTCATACCTTTACTCAGCCAAAGGATTAATGTCCAAATGTACATATACTTATTACATATACCTTAATATTAATCAAACTGGGTAGCATAAACAGCACACCCACCCGAGCTTGTTGTTATTTTACAGAAGATATAACTAGCTAAAAACTAGTGTGAGCTGCGTCGGTGTTTCTAATGAAACAGTAATGATGAAAAGGTAAATTATACACTGTGAAAAGATGAAAAACTAGCATCGAAACGTCAGTAAGTTTTTTCATCTTTTCACGGTGTATAATTTACCTTTTCATCATTACTGTTATTTTACAGTTTGGACCAGGCTTTACCAATGTACTTTGTCATACCAGACAACAATGACGATTAGTTTTTATACTACTTTTACTTTATCTTGGTTTAATCTACTAAAAATAATCCTTTGGACCAAATTCAGGGCTCAAACAATAGTAAGATTCCAAGTTTTTATGATGGCTTAAAATATCACACGAGAAATTGAGGAAATTTTGTGCAAAAATGTAAAAAGGTAATCCTTTTGCCGGAATAAATTGCTATAGAGCTCTTTGCATTGGGCATAATGTTTTCCAACGTGTCATTCTCATAAGATTCTTTGTTTGAGTTGTATCCATATTTATGTGTGTTTTCATGCATAACCATTAAGGAATGATGGTAGGGAATGATATGTGGTCTGTAATGGGAAAACATTATGCCCAAGGTAAAGAGGTGTATTACTTTGTCTTCTGATTTGCAACTGTTAAACAAAGAAATGATACTCTAGGGAATGACACATGGTCTGAAATGGGAAAACATTATGCCCAAGGTAAAGAGGTCTATTACTCTGTCTTCTGATTTGCAACAGCTAAACAAAGAAATAATACTCTAGGGAATAACATGTGGTCTGAAATGGGAAAACATTACACTCAAGGTAAAGAGAACAATTATGCCCACCCTTGATATTTTTGACAGCCATCATCACATCTTGGAATCTAAATATTGACTGGTGATCAATAAATTCTGGTTTTAAGCACTGAAACTACTTTATGTTCAACTTAACCTTGGAACAATATTATAATAATGTTAAAACATGGTTGCAATACATCTAAGACAATCAATTGTTGATACTGTATAAAAACTACATAAACTACAGGGGTATTGTGTCAACTTCACCATGATGCAGCTTGTCACTGCTTATAATAATTACACTGTATATTATACTGTAATGTTAGAAATGGTTACGATCCAGGGCATGAAATTAAGCTCAAAAACTCTCAAAATGCAAGCAAAAAGAAAAAAAAAGAAAAAAAAAACTACAGTTCGGTGTGTATATAATGAAGTAGAGAGAATAAGAGAAAAATATATGCCAGTTACCAGCGTGGTTGGTCCTTGTAGTGTAGTGGTTAACACATCGGACTAAAATACCCAAGACATTGGTTCGAATCCTGCCAAGGGCATTTGATATTTTTCTCTTATTCTCTCTAGCTAAGTTTTAAGTATGACCACAGTTCCAGAAATTGGAGGGCTGAAAAGTTTAGAACCTGCGTCAAGTAACATTTGTTATTTGCTGTGATCAGTCACTAGTCGACTTAAATATTTTTTGCAAGTAAGAACAAAGCTTACTGGAAGGTTTTGCAAGTGGGATTAAAAGTTAAATTCATGCCCTGCAATTCATCTAAGACAATCAGTGGTTGATATATAAACATTTTGTCAACTTTACCATGAAGCTTGTCACTGTTTTGCACTTTTTCCAGCATAGAATGATACTTGAAGGGGCCGATTGTATAGCTGATATCCATTAAGGTTATCAATTGCCAATTGTGCAGCCTCTCTTGTTGCCATGGAAACAAAAGCAAATCCTTTGCTTTGGTTTTTCTGCCAATCCCAAATGATATCCACTTTGTTCACAACTCCATACTTTGAGAAGAGGGCGGCAAGGTTTTGTTCATTGGGGTGGAAACCAATGTTGTACACGTACAAGGTAAAGCCACCGACTTCAGAGGCTTGCCTCATATTGGGTTGCTGAGGAATTGGTGCTCCGACATTCCCTCCCATTGGATTAAAACGTGCCTGAAAGCGATTTGTAGATGGTCTAATTGGCCCGGGCCCTGACATAGGAAAATGTGAAGGGTTTACAAATCCTGGGGCGTATGCCTTGTTAGGAGGCCTTAATTTTTGAGAGTTATCATCCGCAAAGCGAATAACAAGTCCATCAGTACTACCCTCAATAAATTTCCCATTCATTGCATCCATGGCAGCTTGCGCTTCTGCTTTTTTGTTGAAAAGAACAAAGCCAGTACCATTACACAATCCTGTTCCCTTGTCTCTTAACACGCGGACGTTGACAATAGTTCCATGAACTTCAAATGCAGTCTTTAATTGGTTTTCATTGGCCAGTTTTGGGAGATTACGCAGATACAGATTACCACCTTTGTTGACTTCTGCACCAGGACGAGAGAACGCAACTTTCAGCCGTTTATTTTCAACTTGATGTCCGTTTAATTTATCAATGGCCTTCTGGGCATGCTCAGCTGTGAAGTAGTCAACAAACCCAAACCCRTAGCTCCAACCAGTAACCTTGTTTCGACAGATTTTGCAGTTTTTTAATGGCCCTATTGCTTGGAAAAGCATTCTAAAATTTTCATCTGTCATTGCTTGTGGGATATAGTTAATGATGAGGTTTGTTTGACTGGTAGACACATCATTGGAAGAGTATTCTTGAGCTTGGGTATTGCCTTGGTTTAAACCCTGAGGTTGTTGATTCTGCGAGTTGTACATAATGGGTACTTCGACCTTGGGTAACTCTGACACACAATACGGTTTCCATGAATTAGATTCTTCCATGCCTCCATAAGGGTTTAAAGCCATTCTGATAACTCTCACTTTACCATTAACTCTTAAAAGCTTAAAAATATAATGCATATAAATTAATATATAAATAAAAAAGAAAGAAAAATTGTGCTTTTAGGACGAATTCTTTGTGCTTGAAAAATAGTTTTTTTGAAGTAGTTATTTTGTATACGACCATATATATAGATACAGTAGAACATGAAAAGATATAAAACACAAAATCGTAAGGAATAAAATAAGTATTCTTTACATTCTTAACAGTAAATTAACATTTTGACTAAACATATTTTTGATCGTGTAAAAAAAAGGAAATTATTTGCACAAAAAAGATTGCCTTATTTTACGACTTTTTGCTTAAAAAACTGACATTATTTGAAAGAAAAGTTGGAAACAAATAAGATATAAGTTAGATTCTTACCTTGAGGATGATAAAATCTTCGTAGATGGGATAAAAAAAGGTGAGTTTTTACGAAAAAGTAGAGCTGTCACTCGACCACATGTCGGTCCAACGCCATTAGCATCCCATCACGCCTTTCGAGGCGAGTACTAACGCTGGCAATGAATCTTGGGTGAACTGGCGAACAAAACTGGACAAAGCTATTCTGACACAATAACATATATTAGAACAAAGTTGTCGTTTGAGATTTTGAAAGCTGTAATTACATGCATTAGAGGCTCCCGCACTCCTTTTTATAAGAACAACGAAAGTGACTTTCTATTGGACTTTAGCATTAATACTAACCTTGCCGATATTAGATAATTTTAGACTTTTTTATAATGCTTGTTTTTCATTTTGTTTTTTTCTAGTTTTTTGTAAATAGTAACTTTTTCTCTTTAAATTTTCACAAAGTACATAATATAAATATTCTTTTATTATTATTATTATTTTTTAATGATTTACAAACTTATTATTATTATTACATTATTGTTATTAAAATTTATGTCTATTTTTATCTTGGGTGATACACAGGTAACCCAAGCTCCAAGTTTATTCGTTATCTGAAAAAATATTATGTATTTTAAAAATCTTATACAGTGCTAATACTAAATACGTGATACAAATACTAATTTTTAGCACTAAATAGTGATAATTAAACAATAGAAAACAAAGGGTTCTGTATGAAATAGTACTAATTAAATAAATTAGTACTATTATTTAATGTGCACTTTAGTTATTCATTGTTATCGACCGTTAAAAAATGAGCTTTGTTATTAAAGAATAACTTTATAGGATTTCCACAAGCTTCAATTCCAAGATACACTAACTATTGGGATTTTCTCTTTATTTATTTACATAACTTTATCCTAAGGCCAGGGCTGTCAACTCTCCCGGATAAACCGGGAGTCTCCAGATTTTGGACCGTATCTCCCGGTCCCCAGATTAGAGTCTCAAATCTCCCGGATAATTGCCGAAGCTGACCATTTCTTGTGAGACTTGACTTTCACAATCAACAACCATAAAATTCCAATTATTTTGTGTTGTTTGTGTTATTTTACATCGCTAACAAAATCAAAACATTCCTCATAAACTGTTATTGCAAGCAGGCCATTGTAACTATAAGCGATAATTTGATTGGTCAGAAATAAACCAATCACATCTAATGTTACGGAGTGAATGACGTCTTTTCGCGAATTTTTTTCCGCTGTGACGTCATGTCCCTTCTCTATCAATTCTCCAGATTTGAATATCTTGGGGGTTGACAGCCCAGATCCATGACAATTATCTAAGTTACTAAGCTATCATGGAAGGGGTAAGCACAACAGAGCTTGGCTCTTCTTCAGAATCCAAGAATAAAAATATAAAACCAAATATTCAATATAAACTTTTTGAATATTAAAAAAAGAAGAAAAAACCGATAAGGCTAAATAAAAAGTATATTTAACGATCATTCGCCGAAGGCGAAGTGATTATCGGGGAATATTTACCGAGACGCGAGTCTTCGAGCAGCGAGGTAAATATTCCCCAATAATCACTGAGCCTGAGGCAAATAATTGTTTTAGTATAAATACACAGGTGATTCTTTCAAAAAAAGGAAAGAAAGAAGATAAATGGCATTTTTTTCCGGTAACAGCAACAAAGCGGCTGGCCGCCATTTTGGATTTTCGCTCGAGGTGATTATCGTGTGATAGTGTGAGTTTCTTGACCAATCAGCGCGCGAGATTCTCTATAATTACCTGCGTATTTTTACTAAAAATAAATAAAGTAGAGAAACTAGAAAAAGTATGAATCCCATAAAGCCTCGCAGTCATATCTTTGCAAGCTTTTATGGGTAATATTCAAGATGGCGACGTTGTGTTTATAAACAAACGTTGCTCGAAAACATTGCCTAAATTTTCTCAATTTTCACATTCGAAACTTACATTGCTGAACTTTTTAATGACAAAGATATGTAAAGCTGTGAATATGTAATCTTGAAATGATTATAAATGTAGCTATAATTGGAGAACTTTTGACAGGGTTTACAAGCCAGTGATAGCTTGTCGTTTTGAAGAATTTTTCGTTGTTCAAATGGGTTCAATATTTTCTTCAACGTTATCATCAGAAAAAGCAAACAGAAAAAGAACCTTTGATGAAGTACAGAAAGACGACGCTGAAGACGCAGAAAAGGTGGTTGAAATACCCAAAAGGTTAGTCATTTGATAAAAAATATCTTTTCGCCTGATTATGAAGATAAAATATTTTCTGTTGCATGTCATTTTTCTTTATTTCCTTCCTTCTCTCTCTCTCTCTTTCTTTCTTTCTTTCTTTCTCTCTCTCT